TAATATATTTAAGAAAAATACACACTTGGCTTTGACTTGGGTAAAATGTGCGTGGAGCGACTGGAGGCCGGTGTTGCTGAAGGGTCCTCAGCTCAGAATTTTCTCTTGACAGAGCAACCAGCTGGCGTTTCAATTCAGTGACAGATGACAGCAGCTCAAGTTTCTGCGTCTCCAAAGAGGATCTGGACAGCATTTCCTGTAAAGGAGAAAGACGCAAATTTTCAGGAAAACTAAGAACACTTTTCTGACAACGAAAAGAAGGCTCCAAATTTAAAGCAGGTACAGTCGATTCGCACATGCTCACTCAGGACCAGATACAGAGGAGCAGGGTTCGCTAAAATAACGATCGAGAGAGTGCGAGTGAGCGAGTCAACGAGAGCGTCTGTGTGTGAGAGAGAGGATGATGACTAGGCTGCTGCGCCTCCACAAACACTGGCCCGCTTTACTAATAAACACACCGTGCCCTGCCCACCGCGACTCCTCTCTTTCTCTCTCTGCCGTCTTTCCTTTCTCACTCCCTTTCGCCTCTCCTCCTCTCTACATTCGCCACCTTTTTGCAAAGACACTCTCTCTCTCTCTCTCTCTCTCGCTCGGCTGATTACAGCGGAACGCCTGCGCGGCAGGCAGACCCGCTGGACACGGGTGTTCGGCGGGTCTGCCTATCTTCGATCCGCAGGCGCTTTTCCGGTCGACTCCCCACGAGGAAACGCGTTGACTTTTATCAGGGGGTACTATAAGGTCCTTAAAGCATGAGGACGGTCTTTGGAGTCCATAGAGACACCGTGCTATTTGTATCCCGGGACACAAATACCATGGTGTTCCCCCAATGGTCAATGGAGTCCATGAAGACACCGTGATATTTGTATCTCGGGGTACAAATACCATAGTGTCGTACCGAAGGACTTCAATGATTCTCGCCCGACTTCCGGCCTGCCGGCTCACCCGTTGCAGCTGGTCCTCGGCCTGCTGCAGGTTGCGCTTGCGGTCCCCCAGCGCCGCCTCCAGCTCGGCCATCTTGTCCACCTGCACGTCGATGCGCTCCGACAGCACGGCCGTCTGCAGCTGCAGGCGCTCGTTCTCCGCCTGCAGGCGCCGGATGCGCTCCTCCGTGCTCGCATCCCCGCCCTGCAACAGAAGGAACACGACGAACACGCTTTAGAGACACTTTCAGAAACCATGATATTGCAACGTTTTTGTTTGTTTTTCGTTCAGGCAAGTTAACTGTTAATACAAAACAACAATAAAACCAATAAGCACGCACACTGACAAGTCAAAACATGTACATGCTCCGCTGCCCCGCGGCCAGCGATGCGTGAGCTGAACAGCAAGCAGGCGGGGAGCACCACACCACCGGCGCGTTCAATCACGTCGAACTGACCAGGTGGAGCAGCACACTTTGGCTTTGCATTGTTCGAGTAGCGAGAGAGAGGGAGGGCTTTCAAAGCGCCCCTCCGTCAAAGCGGCTTCCCCAGAGGATTGCGAAGGGGGGGAGGGGGTAGGATTACATAACCCCGCCCGCTCTACTCTCCGATAACTTTGTGGTTGTGGACACACGGGGCCGGGCCGGGCGCCGGCCGGCATTGTTAGTCAGATGACAGCCATGCGGTGCGGAGAGGAGCTGCAGCCCGTATCAGTGCAGCGCGCAGCTCTGGCGCAGCTCTGGCACAGCAACGCAAACACGCCAGCGTAAACACAACAAAACACAACCGCAGGAGGGTTTTTTTCCCACCCCTCGCCATGTTTATTATTGTTATTCCTGCGGCAGCCGGGATAAAAGAGGAACGTGTTGTAACGGGGAGGTGAGCACAGAGAGGAAAGGGGCGAGTCAGGGGTTGGCGGGAGGGAAACGGACAAAGAAGCGAATCTGAAACGGTAAACGCATGCTTCATCTCCTTTCTTTATTGTTTTATGGTTATTCCGCTGGCAGCACTGGCCGTGCCCCGGGGGAGCGGGAGGAGGGCACGTGCAGCACGGACGGCCCCCAGACGGCCGCCTCCTAACCTTGGCGTGGCGCTGCGGGCTGTAACAGGTGCACGCCGAGCAGGGCGGCGGCGGGGGCGGCGCGGGGCAGCAGTGGTGGCCGCAGTGGTGGCGGCGCGGGGCGGCGGCGGGGGCGGGCGAGCAGCACCAGGCGTCGGCCGCCTCCACCAGCGCCGACCTGCTCTTGGCGTCGCGGTGCTGCCGGTGGCGGGCGCGCTGCCGCCGCCGGTCGAGGCTGCCGTGGACGACGCGGCCGTCGAAGGAGGCGACGCCGTTGTCGGCGGCGGCGGCGTACGCGTCGTAGTGCGCGCCGTCGAAGAGGCCGCCGTCGGCGGAGCGCGACATGGCGTCCTCGTCGCACGAGCGGCGCAGCAGGCTCTCGTGGCTCGAGTGCACGCGGCGCCTGTCGTGCGGCTCGTGCGGCTGCTTCTTCTTCCTCCTGCCGCCGAGGCTGCCGCACGAGCCGCACGAGTCGTGCGCGTGGTGCTTGTTGACGACGGGCGCGGGGGCGGGCGCGCAGGGCGGCGGCTTTCTCAGCACCACGGCGGGGTCCCGCGTCAGCTTGGGCAGCTGGTCCGCGGGGCGGCAGCGCGCGGGCGCGGGCATGGCCGGCATCCAGTGATAGGGGGCGGCTGCCGCGGGGGTGGGGCCGGCGGGGCCGGCGGGGCGGCGGCCTGCAGGCGGGCCGGCGGGCGCGCGGGGCAGCTGCTGCGGCTCTGCGGGTCGCACGCACGCACCGGCGCGGTTAGGGCTTTAGGCGGCTTTAAGGGGTCCAGGCCGGCGCGCGCCGCGCGTGGTGAGCGAAGGGCGGCGCACTGTGCTGCTCGCGGCAGATTTCTCGAGTGGAGGCGAAGGCACCTACTCCCACCACAGTCTCTCTACTCGAGTACCCGGCTGCGAGTGGAGAACAGCACCACCGCCTCGAAAACCACGCGCTTCGCAAGCCGCCCGTTAGTAAAAACCAGTGAAAACACACATACACACAGCCGCGGGATCAGTCCCGCAGATCACTGTGCTTTGTGGAGCAACCATCGAAAAACACGCATGGGCACCACGGCCCGGGAAGTAAGGAACACAACACGGCACAGCACAAGGACGGACCTGGCTCATCATAGGACTCGGGCTCAGAGGATCCTCCCGAGGACGACGAGGTCTCAGTGGCCGACTCCTCGTCGGAGTCCATGCTCAGGTCGTCTGCTCCTGGGGACAGTTCGGGTGGAACACGTTGGGGCGGCAGGCGGCGGGCAGCAGGCACAGTGACATGAACAGGGGAGGGAACGAGTTGAGTGGCAACGACGAACTAAACGGTCCGGCGCGTCATCCTTGTTTGGGGAGCTGAATGTAAAGTCCACGGGAGTGGACAGTGGGGACAGTGGGACACTAGGCGGGGCCCCGCGGGGCGCTCCGACCCGCGACCAACCTGGACTGCCCGCTCCGTCCTGCGAGCCGACCACGTGACGCATCAGCGAGCTGCCGCCACTGTCGGAGCCCGACGACCCAGAGTCCGACCCCGAATCGGGGGACACTTCATCCTGCTCGCAGTCCGACGAGTCCCGGGCCGCCTCGACGGCGTCCTCGCGCTGCTGCTGCTGTGGCTGCTGTTGTAGCTGCTGCGGCCGACTGGCGCCGCCGACCGCCTCCTCGCCGGACTTCCTGGCGGCGGCGGCGGCGGGGGGCGGCCTGGCTGCCAGCGCGCCGCCGCCGGCACCCCGCACCGTCTTCCTCTCCAGCATGGCGATCTTGTCCGAGACCAGCGACCCGCTGCGCACCATGTCGGGCGGCGAGCGCGTTAATCACATCGCCCTGCAAACAAGCCCCGGGATGAGGCCCTGCCTGCGGCGCCCCGCGGCCAGCGCCGGCCCGGCCGAGCGGGCAGCGCCGAGCCGCCTGTTTGAGTTGGCTCCGGCAATAAAGCAGCAGGGCGGGCAGCGCGGCCAGCGCCCTCCCCCTCAGTGCAAATAGCACCGCGTCAGCGGACCTGTAACGCGGAGAGCGCGTATCTACCCGTATCTCCCGCCAGGCGAACTTAACCGTGGCCACCAGCAGCACCCGTCTGCACGCATGGAGTGTGTGGAGCGTCGTGGAGCTAAGTGCCCGGGGCGGGGCGGGGCGGGGCGGTTCGGGGCATGGCGGGTCGGGGCG